CATACATAATATGTCTCTTAATTTCTCCTGCGCTTTCTATAAAATTAAACACACCACTTTCTCATTTTAATTGGATTTAGCTCCAAGTTGGTCTATTATTATGGTATGATCTATTTCAGATAACCTCGTCTCTAAACGGCACATAAAAATAAAACTGTGACTGGTTGTTTCAATCACACAGACAGTCTCTCCTGCCAAAGTGTGCTGTTTTTAGCCAAAATAACTGCAGAATGCACCAGATTTTATGCTTGAAACACTGGCTATGTGCAGGTAAGCCTGTCCTGACTCCAGGGAAAATCTATTTCTAGTTCTGACAAGTGGACTGAAGCGTTGACTTCACTACCAATCCTTTATTTATGTCAGAATACATTTCAAATTCCAGTGCTGAACGACTCCATAATGCACTCCTGAATCAATGAAGAACATACAGATGCCTGACCTACTATACCGCTCGCACAACATGAACATTTTTCACAGAGGAACTTTTATTTATGACCACAGAACTGTAGAGCGGCTCTGAAAATAATGGACAAGCCGCAAAAAGGCTTTCCAGAGGTTTTCATCCATGCAGCAGCACACATAATGAACGGCGTATCTGCTGCTGCAAGATGTAAATACCAACCATCAGACGCCTCCTGCATTGGATAACACCGCGCTTTAATGTCCATGTGTGCTGGCTTTCATTAGCAGACGTGGCCGTGATTCCCGGTCAGCTGTATGATGAAGCGAGGGGTCATTAGAGAGATTGATTCAGCCAGGGAAAGACCTTCGCTAGGCTGCTGTCAGCGCAGCTGTGGCACCAGAGGCCAAGAGATGAAAGCAAACAACACGCGACGCCTGCTCATTAATGTCTATTTACACCCTCCACATTAAATCAGCCAGCATTCATTCACACACACGCTTTTCTGAGTGCTTTCACAGCATGACGGTCAGTGCCGCTACATACGGATGTATTGATTGATGTGGAGGCCTGGTAAAGATGGAGAGATGGAGAAAACTTAAAGAAAGTAGAGATGACAGAATGCCAAAAACAGAATGAGAGACACACAGTAGCTCTGATTTAAAATGTTTAAATATTAAAAAATATATATATATATTATTATTATGATGATGATTATGATTATTAATATTTTTCTATTGGATACTCATTTAAACAGTTTATTTAAATAGTGTTTTTCACAAGGCATATTGCATTAAATCGATCCAGCATCCACATCACGTGGTAAAACATGGTAACATGGTAAAAAGCATGTAATAACAATTAATAATATTTAATACATTAAATATTATTCAATATATAAACATGCAAAAATTCAACCATAATAACCATTTTCAACCGTAACAAAAAAGTTTAACATGGCAACATGATGACAGAATGCAAAAAACAGAGAATGAGAAAAAGAGAAAGAGGGGAAAAAGACACACAGTAGCTCTGTTTTAAAATGTCTAAATATTAAAAATTATTATTATTATTATTATTATTAATAACAATAATAACATTATTAAGAAATTATAATTATACATATTATTCTATATTATTTTACATATTATTATTATTATTATCAATACGATATAAATTATAACGTAATTGTTGTAATTACTTTGTTTTACTATCTGATATTACTTTAAACCAGTTGATTTAAAGTAAAGTGAAGTGTTTTTCACAAAACATATTGCATAAAATTGATCCAGAACACCCTAGCAATCACATAATGTGGGAAAAGCATTTAATAATAATAATAATAATAATAATAATTAAATAATAAAATATAATTTAATATGTAAACATGCAAAATTCAACCATTCAACCATATGCAACCATAACAGCAATTCAACATAATAATAATACCTATATAAGTGATTATTTAATAATTTAATATATATAAACATGCAAAAATCATGCCAAAACAACCACCTTAGCAAAATGCTAAAATCCTCCCAGAACACACCACTATAATTTGCTTTAGAACATTTAATTTGACTCATTTTAGGAAATGCATATGCTGGACAAACATGCAAAACTCCAGGTGAAGTCTGTTCGGAGTAAGAGAAGACATAAGGATCAGATCGATATTGGTGACTCTTGGGAGCTGGGAAAAGTGCTGTGATTGACAATCACAGGATGTGTTTTGGTGGATTCATCAAGCTCCGGGGCCGCAGTGTTTCTGACACCTGCACACCTGTTACGTGTCAACCAAACACCTGCAGGCTGATCTCTCCTCACTCTCTCCTTACCATCAGTAAACCGAGACTTCACATCAGCGGCATGAAAAACAAAACTGTTCAGTATCAATTATGCACAGAATGTGGATCAAACCAAACAAAAACATGTTCAATACTGGTAAACCTAAACAATAACTTAACCTCTTAACTGTCACTGGGTAACCAGTCTTACGTTTCAGATTCAAATTAGACTAATCTATCTTTTAAAACTGAATTTATGACCAGTCTCGAAGAAAAAAAAATAGATGACTAACTTTTTAAGACTAAGCAGTTTATGTAACAGACCCAACCGTAATTTTAATTTTTTTTAATTTTTTAATTTTATTTAAACTAAATATTTTACAAAATATTTTGGATTCTAAAATTGCTATAAAATCAAAGCGACATGTCTAAGTGAGTTATGTTCCAAATTTTAAGTTAATATTACAAAAACTGAGGTTCCTGTGAGATTTTGTTTAGGTGCTATACCAAAAATAGACATCGGGTTACCCCCAAACTCACTAATCAATTTATACATTTCTGTCACAATATTACTTCTTCTTCAACAAAGATGTTAAAATGCACTATCTGAACTTAAATGGTTATAATTCATGAACACTTTGGAATACAGACCTAAGCCTGGTCTCTTTTTAAAGAAGAAAGTGATTGATTGCTGAAGTGGAAGCATTTCAAAAAATGAAAGTATAAAGTTATTTAATTTGCTGTAAAGAAATGCACCACAATACTTTTTTATCTGAAATAAATATTGTACAAAATATTTTGTAACCTAAAATAGCTATAAAATCATAGCAATATGTCTAAGTTACATTCCGAATTTGAAGTTGATATCACAAAAATTGAAGTTCCTGTGAGATTGTTAAAAAAAAAGCCACTCCCAAACTCCATAGAATTTATGAATTTTCCTGTCACAATATTACTTCTTCTTCTTCTTCTTCTTCAGCAAAGATGTTAACGATTTTCACAAGATAAATTTTGTGAAGTGTTTAAGCTTTCAAATGATATCTAATTTAATGATGATTGCTAAAATTTGTGATGGGTAAAAAAGCGTAATAAAAATAAAAAGTAATAGTAATAAAGATAACACAAAAAGAGTGCCAAGCGTCCCGATAGCTAGACGCTGGCAGTTAACCAGTTAAACACCTCTGATTTACCAATGCATTCAGATGTAGTAAGCAAAATGCTGAACCACAGCAATAACACAAGCTGTAAGTAGACACATTTGATGCAGCATTTGGATATTTGGATGCATACACATGACATTTATAGCCAAGACAAAACAGATTATATCTCTCACAAACACCCTGAGCTCATCTCATCTCACCCTGCTGTTCATCAGCTCAATCATTATTCTCAATAATGTGTTTGCATTGCAGCTGTTTTTCTCTCCTGGCAATAGACAATCAAGTCTCTGTTTTCCATTAAAATATCATATTTGCCAGTGAAATACAGAAGAGATTTTAATCTGTGCTCTCAGTTACGGTTCACCTCGCCCTGTCAGTCTTTGGTGTTTTTCTCTTTCATCATAATTGATTTATTAACGTTGCTGATCGCAAAATACGAGTCTACGCAAATGTCAAATCTGAAACAAAGCATATTCTCAGACTGTTTTTCTCTTGATTAATGTTCAAAGAACCACAACAAATCAGCTGTAATAATCAGCGAGCGACTCCTCATGCATCCAAAAGCTCTTAAACCTCCAGCGTTCGTCAGTTTAATTCTGGCACCAAACACGCACCTCGTGCGGAAAGTTTAGCAGTTCTGGCAGCGTCTCAAGAGTTGCTCGTAATTTTCCTCGCAGAAGCCCAAGGTGAATCTGTTATGGGTTTATGTTCGAGTATCAAATAAATATTTAAAGCAGAATATGACTGAAGTTTTGCTAGACAACTGATAACAGGCCTGTAACCTTCCAAACGCAAATCGCAAGACAAAGCAAAAGCCGTCTGGCGATTACGCCCGAATTTTCACCTCTTGTGAGAAAATAAAAATGTCCGCATGTGTTGATCTACATTTGACTAGACTCTATCTTTCCTGTTTTTCACCTCACACCACAGCTGATGGCCATGAGTAATGTCAGATACACACAGTACAATTTTGCTATCTCAGACTAAATTCATAGATTATAAAAGATTACTTCTGAGATTTACAAAAAAATATTTTGACTAAAGATGAACTAAGATAAACCACTTAGTAACACCCTGGTAACTCCTTAACAACCATTTAGCAACACCCTAGCACCCAAAACGCCCTTGAAACCACGTAGCAACACCCTGGTAACCACTTAGAACTCCCTAGCAACCGCTTAGCAACATACTGGCACCCAAAACACCCTTGAAACCACTTAGCAATGCCCTGGTAACCACACAGATCATCTAAGTAACCGCTTAGCAACATCCTGGCAACCATGTAAAACACCCTGGAAACAACTTAGCAACATCCTGGCACCCAAAACATTCTAGAAATCACCTAGCAACGCTCTGGTAACCACCCAGAACACCTTAACAACCATTTAACAACATCTGACATAAACGGCTGTGTTGGTGTTTGTCTTGAGAAACGGCACAGTGTACAGCTGAAGTTAATGGTGTGTGTGTGTGTGTGTGTGTGTGTGTGTGTGTGTGTGCGGTTCGGCCCCCTTCTGTTCTGTACATACTGTGCTGCAAATGGGCCAGAGATTAAAATAACTCCGGAACACTGTGATGTCAGTTTTAAAATAATATCTCGGTGTCCTTTACGATGTTGGAGTTTGATTCTCAGCACACATGTGTGTTTGTACTCACTGTAAAGATCTTATTGTGGTTATCCAATGTCGTTCGTCTCTGGCAAGCGTACGGAGACACAGCAGACTCAGGTTTGGCTGACGGATGCGCACACGACCTCTGATCCACAGCGGGATTCTTCTCATAAACACACACACACACACACACAAAGAGAGAGAGAGACTCATAAATCAATCAGATGTTCAGTTGATATTAGATCAAAATAAACAAGTGGCATGAACCAGTTCACAAAGCCCAGAGCCGATCCTCCCTATACGCAAAGTACGCAAGCTGCATAGGGCCCCCGAAACACCAGGGGGCCCCCTTGCTCTCAAAGATGATTCCCCCGAAACGGGGGCCCCCTTGCTCTCAAAGATGATTTAATTTTAGTTTCGTTTTTGAATTTGGCCAGCGGTTATGAAAACCGTTTATGTTATTTCTTTTAATGCGGTGCGCTGTCGCCCGTTCTACGTAAAAATCAGTCAAATCATGTAACGTGAATGTCATACAGTGTCTTACACGAGACACAAAAAAAAAACTAGTTGAAAAGAAGTGGTAGTGGTAGGTATCCCCCCGCCGACACAGTTTTGCGTAGGATCGGCTCTGACAAAGCCTCTCGATATTTAATACATATAGAATCGCTTTAGACTAAAACCATAGAACCCATTTAAAAACCCATAGACTTACAATGAAGGAGGGTCCCTAGCAAACACCCAGAATACACCTTGGCAACACCTAGAAGGCCTTCAAAACTGCATAGAAAAGCCCTAACAACCATGTGGAATACCCTAGCAACTGCACAGCAACCACCCAGATCACCTTAAAAATGACAAAGTAACCATATAGCAACACCCTAGCAACCACTCAGAATACTCTAGCAATGCCCTGGATACAACCTAGAAGACACAATTAGACAGAATTACACACCAAATACCTAGAAACCACCCAGAATGCAAATCTAGTAACCACTCTTGAAACTGCATAGCAACACCCTAGCAACCACCTACCACTTCTTAGCATCACGGCAGGATCTTTTGCGCAGGTAAACACTCACATGATCCTCAGAACACATTTATTTCGTCACACAGGAACAGCACGATAACGACAGGACACATCAGAATCAATTACAGCTTTATGATTTACAATTACAGCCAGCAGCTCCAGTTTAGCCCTCATGAATTGGCGTTTGATTATTCACCCCCTCCCGACTCACTAAAGGATTACAGCTGTAATGTCAGCGCTCTGGGAATAATTGCTAGATGTGACGGGAGTCTGTACCCGTGAAAATGACCTGCGCAATCATCTCGGCACATTGTGATAATGGCCGATTCAGAGATTCAGCAGGGAAAGTGAACGCTAACACGCTGTTCTGACCGCCCGCTATTTTAGAGGCGTCGCAGATCTGAATGAAAAGAGGCCTGATATCTGCACTCCCCTCCAGCAAAAGCATCGAGCGCTCAGAAGTGAGAAAATCAGAGCCATTATTCGTCGTCAGGGGCGTCACCTCCTTCACAAGCATAAAGAGGCTGCATATAATGCCTGTATGATGACTATTTCAGGGCAAATCAGAAACTAATCTGGTCCCCCATTAAGTTATGATAGTTAAAGGCACTTTCAGATTTAATTTCCCTTCCTGTGACACCAGACCTCGCTGTGGGTCTCTGACTTCACATGCCTTTTCACTGCCACTCAGACAAAAATATTCATAATGTCTAAAAAACTCAATTTTATCCTACACAGCGGTAAGATTACATGGAGAGAAAATGGAGACTCGACAAGGTCTCAAACTGCTCAGATTTGCCAAGTGTGAAATCCAAAGTCTAATATTTCCCATCAAATTCAAGTCAATTCCGCCATAAAAAAAAAATTTATGAGAAACGTCTGAGACAAAGTTGATGTCTCCTGATCTATTACACATCCCTGCATTTTGAAATAAATAAAATAAATAATAAAATAAATTTTAAAAATACAAATAAAAAATCTGCTGATTTGCAATAAAAAGGGCCTAATATTACCTAAATTTATTATGCTGAATTCAAGTATATTAATAAAAACTTTCCATCATGTAATTTTTTCACAAAATAAGTATGAAGATTTTTCAAATTATATATAAAAACTAAAACTTTAAACTTCAAGAACTAAAATGACTAAGACTGAAATAAAAAATAATTATTGATCAATATTAATATAAAAAATAAAAATGACAAAAGCACATTAGATTACTAAAATCTAAACTAAATTTAAAAGTACTAAAATTACTCAAACGGAAATACAAACTAATTAATGTATTAGTATAAATATAGATTTAAATATATATCTATATCTAAATATAGATATCAAAAATAATAATACAAATGAAAAAGGCACAAAAGATTACTTAAACTAAATTTAAAATTACTAAAACAGAAATGAAAATATTAAAATAACAAAAGGGAAAAATGTTAATTGAAATAAAACTGAGAAAAGAAAATATAAATATTAGATTAAACAAAATATGAATTGTTTTTTTTTTTCAAATCATAATATATATATATATAAAATCTCAAAATGTCTAAATGTCAAATATTCAAAATACATCATTTAACTTACAATGTGCAAAGGAGTGGAAAAATATGATCAAATACTCCATTTAATGTCAAAGAACTTTACATAAACACACATTTATAAATAAAAGAGCTTTTTTCACAAAATCTGTCATTTTCTGTGGCTTTTTGGATGCAGTAAAGCAGAAAACATCAGATTTCTAGTTTGCATTTTCTTTTTTCAATAGCCATAATTCAGGATTATAAATAAAATAATGTGAAAATAGGCTGAGAATTGAACAAATAGCTATAATCTGGCTCAGATTCGGACAGGAATCATGTATTTGTGCCAGTTTTTTTCTGATTAAGGGAAAATACAAGACTTCTTCACCTTATAAATGGCTCTCGAAAGCAAAAATGCTACAAAATGCATCATATTTACTGACAAAGTGTGGCGTGCTCCAGCAAAACAGGCTATTTTTGGAATCAGCAGCACAAAATTAGTAAGAAATAAATATTGGATTTGATTCAGCAGATATGATGCAGGGCAGTTTAATAGAGCAATAACATTCCTCCTGAGCGTCCCTCTTTTGGGAACAAATTAAAAGTGCATTACATCTGGCACCAGGGGGCGCACTGCAGTAATCACATCTGGAGGTCACAGACACTGAAAAGATGTTTTTTGTCTGAGGATTGACTTCACCTCAACAGGCAGAAACAATGAGCTGAAATGTATGCAGGTGAGAGCAGCGTCTGCTGCGGGTTAATGACCAACACTTGAGCAGGTGAGCCGAGTCGCTCGGGTTAATGAGATCACACCCTGAACACCGGCCCGGCTCGGGTTCACATCCCTCCTGATTGGGCCTCCGCTTCCTCTCCAAGTGCATGACTGATAACGAAACAGATGTCTCTGGAGACACACACACTCATTTCTGATCATCCCATCCGTCTAGACGGCAGCGAGAGGCGTATTTATCTGCGTTTCTTACAACCATCACGAGTCAGTGGGTGTAAAAGCTGCAGCTTGTCTTCAGGAGAGAAAGAGAGCCGCGAAGGCGACTGAAGAACGGCATTTTTAGAGCGCTAATGAAGGCAACTTCTTTTGAAGCGGTGCATTTTGGCACTTCTACACCTCATCATGCATCATTATAAAAGGAACAGTTCACAATCTTAAAACAACTAAAACTACAGCTATTAAAAAATCATTTTCATCAAAGGATTAGGTCCTTCAGGGTGTCTTGGAGGGGTGAGGTTTCTAAGTCACAACTTCTTGCTACTGGGGTTCCTCAAGGCTCAGTGCTTGGACCACGTCTCTTCTCCATCTACCTGTCGTCATTCAGGATTTGTCATTCAGAAGCATGGATTTTCTCATCACTGCTATGCTGATGACACGCAACTCTACTTCTCATTCCAACCAGATGATCCGACGGTAGCTGCTCGCATTGCAGCCTGTCTGAGAGACATTTCTAGCTGGATGAAGGACCATCACCTTCAGCTCAACCTTACTAAGACAGAACTACTTGTGGTTCCAGCAAACCCATTGTTTCATCACAACTGCTCTATACAGCTGGGTTCGTCAACCATAACTCCTTCCAGGACAGCCAGGAACCTTGGAGACTTAAACTAAAATTAAAAGTTTAAGTACTAAAATTAGTTTAAAACCGAAATAAAAATGACTTAAAGCTAAATAGAAATATTAAAAACAACGTTTTTGGTAATTGACATAAAGCTGAAAAAATACATATAAATATTCGTTGAAAAACAAGCTTAAAACTAGAAATAAAAGAGAAATATTTCATTGGCAATTAACTGAAAAATTAAAAGTTTAAGTATTAAAATTACTTTAAAACCTAAATAAAAATGAATTAAAGCTAAATTGAAATATAAAAAAACAGTTTTTGTTCATTGAAATACAGCTGAAAAATATCAAATATACAAATTAGATGAAAAACTCAAACTTAAAAGTACTTAAAGTACTAAAATTAATCAAAATAAATTAATTAAATCTAAAAAGAAATTAAAAAAAATGAAAAACAAAATGACAAACTTAAAAAAACTGAAAACTGAAAAATAAAAATAAAAAGCTTATTTCAAATATTAAATTCTATAATATTTCTGTAAATCATGGTGCTAGAAATGTAAGTTCCTTTGGATAAAAGAATCTGCAAAATGCATAAATGTAAATAATAACCCTGGTTCACTCCAAAAATTAAAAATGTCCTCAACTTTCTCAACCTTTTATTTAACAACCTCTGTTTTCAATACAACTGAAATGGACTGTGATTTATTCTGCCAAGGACAAAATATACCATAAAAATCTCAAATAGGCTACGTCTTGCAGTCTATATATTCTGACTCTTGAAATCATCTGACAGCTTTGCATGAGAAACAGACTCAAAGCTAAGTCATTCATTGATAAATCTCTTCTTAAACCTCATTTATAGTCACATTTTTCATCTGTCACACAAAAATCAATGAGGTTCAGCGTCAAAGACATCAAATCTGCTGCGATGCATCTAAAGGCACCACTTTCTTCACTCAAAGCATCTTGGAAATGGCTTGGATACTTATACATATGTCCTTTTTGGAGATCATGCTGTCATATGGAAGTTTTTT